GAGATGGTGGAGTGATGGGCTCGCAACGTTAGCGTCGCCCATGAGCAGTGGAGCATTTAACTCTGGGGGTCAACTCTGAATTTGTGGAAATGGAATCTCAAGTAAGGACACACAACAGGTCTGTTCGTGCTGCCTGTTGTGGGTGGCCTCCCTCAGACTGAAGACATCATGGTGGAGGGAGGTTGATGGTCACTGTGGAATGTATAATTGCACTGCTCTTTTTAGTGTCCTGTTGGTTTGATTTTGGACTTGATTTACGTACAAAAAGCCTTTTCCACGGCTTAAGGCTAACCCTGCCTTTGTGTCCAAGGTGGTTGGGTAATGCTCTCCCACTGACCTTATGGCATTCTCTTCAATGCCAATGCGGTGGCAAATGCGGTGTCTTGCACATCTATATTGACTGAACTAAGGGGTTTCGGAGGAGTGTCCAACTCTTTGTATCCTGGGATAATATCCATATCAATCACAAATATGGACTGTGGCCTGGCTACATCCTGGGCCCTTCTTGCTGAGGCAAAGCTAGAGGTGCTTATTTATAAAGATGCTGTATCATAGCACAAGCTATTTAAGGGTAGTGATATCTCACTACTCTGAGAACCAGGGTTACGCAAGTAACTTAAAGTTTGGTGTAAAACATGGATCTGAAACAAAGCCCTTTTCGGTTATCATGTTGAGTATCTGCCCGAGGGATGTTTACTATGTGTTAGTGTGTTCCACTGATAAATGACTACTGCAATTATTTGCTTAAGCAAGCACAGTATCTGTGTGCTGCCTCATCTTGATGAAAAAATCTAAAGATTTTATCCATCGTCCACATGACTCACCACAGTGCATGTGTCTGAATGTTGACAGGGTCGTACTGTAACGCTGTTGGAGCTTGTCACCATACTCATCATCTATGTCCGAGGTGAAATACTGAAGTGAAAATGTGCTGAGCCTTGTAGTGTCAGATATAGCTGCTCAACCATGTGACTGCATCTCCTCTAATCTCATAAATTTAAAATTTCTCGCTCTTGGTCAGAAAATCGGAGTTTCAGAGCAGCCCAGATCAAATGGACAGCAGTCTTATCAATCTCTGAATCTGAAAGCTCTCCAGTCTGGAGTGTCTTTGCTGAACTCCTCATTCCTTCTGGCTGACTGCCTCGTTTGTCTCAGCAACATCTATTTTGTCTGCTGATGAAGACTCTCACTAGTGGAGCAACGCAGGCAAAAGTGTAGACATGGCACCCTCTACTGTATACAATCTGTAATGCATAATTTAAACAGCGCTCCTGAGAACCTGTCACTGTCTGTGTTACTGGTTAAGAAGAGTAGGGAAAGGTTAGAGAAAGTTCTCTCAGCATGAACATCATTGTAACAGTTACTGAACGTTAGTCTACAGCAAAACATAAACTATGTATTGTTTGTGTCATTGTCAGGTGATCATCGAGGTGACTGAGATGCTGCATAATGCCAGCTTGCTCATAGATGACATCGAAGACAACTCCAAGCTGCGGCGAGGCTTCCCTGTGACCCACAGCATCTACGGCATCCCCTCAGTCATCAACTCGGCCAACTACGTCTACTTCTTAGGGTTGGAAAAGGTGCTGACCCTGGAGCACCCCGAGGCTGTACGAGTGTTTACCCGGCAGCTGCTAGAGCTGCATCGCGGTCAGGGCCTGGACATCCACTGGAGGGACACGTACACCTGTCCCACTGAGCAGGAGTACCGCAACATGGTGCTGCAGAAAACTGGAGGGCTCTTTGGCCTGGCTGTGGGTCTGATGCAGCTCTTCTCGGATTGGAAACAGGACTTAAAACCACTACTGGACACACTGGGCCTCTTCTTCCAGATCCGCGATGACTACGCCAACCTCAGCTCTCGCGAGTACAGCGAGAACAAGAGCTTCTGTGAGGATCTAACCGAGGGCAAGTTCTCTTTCCCTACCATTCATGCCATATGGTCGCGTCCAGAGAGCACCCAGGTGCAGAACATCCTGAGGCAGCGCACAGAGAACATGGACATCAAACGATACTGTGTGGACTACCTGGAGAAGGTCGGCTCGTTTGCCTACACTCGTCAGACTCTGCGGGACCTGGAGGTGGAGGCCTACCGCCTCATCAGGGAGTTTGGGGGGAACCCTCAACTCGAGAGCCTTGTCAAACAGCTCAGCCAAATGCATCACGATGGCGAGGCCACAGTAGAGTCCAGTACGGAGCCAGAACCCAGCCACAACCCCTGAACCTCACCCACCTTTCCCGGTTACATGACTCTCATACTGTCCCCTGCACACTCCGCTGAAACAGAAGCTTTGTTAATACACTGATGCAGACATACACATTCCTGAAGAGCTCACCACACAAACACACACACCGGTATGTTGATTTACACACTGTGTTATGAGTCACAATGAATCATTAAACTTGAGCACTTTAATTCTGGTAGACAGATTTGACTGCGTTCAGCAGCTGTGAGACAGCAAGGCAGCCACAAATGTTGCCTGTCTCTCTTTAGAGAGCTAGATGGCATCCTTCAAGTGTTTCTTAACAAAGTACACATCAGCAATTTTTGTATTCGAGTGTCGCTGTGCCGTCAGTGGAAGAAATTAATTAAAACAGGAACTTACTGCTTATGGTTTTTGGTTTGCTTTTCTTAAAATGAAAAATAACAAGATGACAACAAAGCTTAAAAGCCTTCCTTTTGATGTGCACTACAGTGCATATAAATGTATTTTTTTTTTTTTATGTTCTTGGGCACAGAATGAAAAGGGTTTGTCTAGGGCCGGGTGAATGCTGGGCTGTTTTTTTTTCTGAAGTTCCCTGTTTAAAAATAAGGATGTTAGATGCTTCTCGAGCTGTAATTGATGTGTGATTTGAGGATCCTTAATCATTAAGCCGCCAGAGTGCCAATCCTGTAGAAAAGACCTTTTGCAACTCAATTGTCTACTTGTTATGTAATATGTTGGCATTATATGCAAAGTTTATGCTCGGCTGTATATGAATACTCTGCAGACTGTTTTTCCATCTGGTTCTAAGTCAACACAGCTTTTCACATCTCTAATATTTTATTAGGGTGATTCAGTTATGATATTTGTGAGTAGACACTACTGCAGTTGACAGCTTATTTGCATCTGTTGAATAAAAAAAACCCTAACATAACCTGGCTTGAAGGCAAGCTATAATATGTTACACAACATAACACTAATTAATTTTTCATTCTTTTCTGGCTTTATGTGGGTTTGATTTCACATTGAGGATTGGATTTACACAGTGCGAAGAATTAACTTTGGCGATGTCCAAATTTTTAGTTGCTGTGGACTATGCGTATATGGAGCACTGAGTGGTATGGTATGGGTTTTATTAATCATGTGATTTTGGACAATAGTAGTTATTTGGACTCAACAACTACTTAACTAACAATAGTTCTCCCATGGCGTCTCTTCAACCCTACACCTGTGTCACACCTGTCTTGATCTCGATGGATTTTGATATAACAATTGCCTCGTTTCAACCGCCATTTTCCATTTTTCTCACGTTCGCCCTCTCGACCTGACCACAAACTTGTTGCTCTATAATACTTCTGCTAATTCACCTAATTAGGGTCACTTTCAACCGTTTCCACTATCCATCCGTTCATATCCATCCACAGCTTTCTGCTGTCGCTCTTACGCGCTCCTTCCATGGTATGGCTTGCGCCCTACGTAGTGCATATACCACAGATTGAGAGCCACCTAGGGAACGGCTAGATTCAATCTGCGGAACGACGGAAACTCTGCAAATCTTCCCACGGAAGCAACCCAGCCCAGCAAGTTTAGACACGTCCTCAAAATTACGTACAGAAGTCGAGTCCAAGTAAGTGGCCCACGCTGGTTCACTGATAGCCTGTGCATGCTGGGTGTGTTTGAGGCTGTTCATGCCGGGTCTCGCCACAATTGCAGTTCTGTCAGAAGCTGACTCCCGACCTTTGTCTTAGAATGGCCACACGAGTCATAAATGGTGCGCAGTAGTCTAAATAGAGACGTGCAGAAGGTGTTGCTAAATGTTTGGCATCTTAAATAATAATCAAACTGAGATGATGTATATGTCACGTCACCTGTTCCGAGTAACAATATGTTGTGGGCATCAGTATATACACGAATATGCGCAGCAGTGAATTGTTTTTCGCGCAAAATGGGTGGAACGAGCTTTGTCTCTAGTGCTGTAAGAAGGTAACATATCATGAGAGGAGGAAGAAACTTTAGAGTAACTAATATGGAACACCTTGTATATACTAATGTCAAGGTTGTGAACAGTCGAGAGAAACAGAGTGACATATTAAAAGCATCATTTGCAAGCCCAACTAAATAACGACAGTCAATGGGTTGGATGCCGTACGCAATAGTGTAGCAAAAAAAATCAGACTCGATCGCTCGAAAGCTGTCTGTAATTTCCACGGCCAAAAATTAGAGGCAGGGCTGAGAAATCCTCCCGAGTGCCACTGGCCAGGTAAGGGTAACAACAGTGCAAAGGTAACGGTACAACAGTGCAGGTAACGGTAACCAAACAGTGGCAGGTAACGGTAACAAACAGTGCAAAAAAAAAAGGCCAAGTGGCACCTCCTTCCAGACTCCACCCCGATACTGTCCCCTAGGCCCGGGGGCCAAATTTCCTCACGCGGCAAAAATAAATAAATAAGAGGAACACAAGGTGCAATGGTTTGCTTTTCAAACTGATTTCTATGCAATCACCTTCCACCGAGGTCTTAGATTTTTGCCCGCCCCCCATTTTGAAATAAAAGAAAACAAAATGAGCATTCTTTTACCAATGGACTATAACGTTTTATAACAATTTATAACCATTCAGTGTTTACAAATGAAGAAAAAAATTCAGCTACATGTTTATCTTACGCAAATTTGCTTTCCACCTCCTACGTAAACCTTAAAGCAAGCAAGCCCTGAGTGGAAACTACCAGACTAGATAAGTGGTGTTAAATATTTTTGATAAAAAATTAAAAACAATTTTAGGCAAGGTTTCTCACAAAACAAAAGCAACATTGCGAGAGCCTGTAATAAATTTGGAATCAGCGCAGTTCCGCAACAAAAGCACTGTTTGCCTTTGAAAAAATAAACATGAACTCTGGTGCTCAGGAGAAAGTGCTTAATGAAATAACATAATACTATGAAATGGGCTCAAATGTTTTGGTAATATGTGTTAGCCGTGTTAGAATAGCATAGGCGTAAATGTTCAAGATCGTTAAGATAAGAAACATAGGTCCAGTGTCAGGAAGAACCCTATAAATACTGTAATAAGGCAGAAAGATAACAACAAAACCACTTGCTCGTCACATCTTGATTTTCAATTACATCCGTGTGCTCAGTACGAAATGGTGCTCGCTCATCCTCTGGAGTTTGAAGGGTCCGCTGCGTTTCCCCCCATGTTTCAGTTCAAGAAAAAACCAATAAACACCAAACCCAAACCTTGACGCACAGAGATATGTGACATTTTGTTTTAGAAAATCGAGATAGAGCCCACAACCCAACCAGATTTAATTTAATTCAACAAAGATGCAAATAAGGCTGTCCAACCTGCAGTAGTGTCTACTCAGCAAATATCATGAATCTGAATCAAGCCCTATAAAAATATTAGAGATGTGAAAAAGCTGTGTTGACCTTATAACCGAGAATGGAAAAACAGTCCCTGGCAAGAGTATTCATCATACAGCCGATGCATCAAACTTTGCAATAATAATGCCAACATAATTACATAACAAGTAGAGAATTGAGTTGCCAAAAGGTCTTCTTCTAACAGGATTGGCACTCTGGGCGCCTTAATGATTAAGGATCCTCCAAAATCAACACATCAATTACAGCTCGAGAAGCATCTAACATCCTTATTTTTAAACAGGGAACTTCAGAAAAAAAAACAGCCCAGCATTCACCCGGCCCTAGACAAACCCTTTTCATTCTGTGCCCAAGAACATAAAAAAAACAAAAATCATTTATAATGCAACTGTAGTGCACATTCAAAAGAAGGCCCTTTTTAAGGGCTTTTTCCCAAAATCTTGTTATTTTTCCAATTTTAAGAAAGCAAAACCAAAAAAACCATAAGCAGTAAGTCCTAATTTTAATTAAATTTCCTTCGCAACTGACGGCACAGCGACACTCGAATAGCAAAAATTTGCTGATGCTGTAGCGTTTGTTAAGAAAGCACTTGAAGGATGCCCATCTAGCTCTCCTATAAGAGAGAGCAGGCAAGCAATTTGTGGCTGCGCCTTGCTGTCTCAACCAAAGCTGCTGAACCGCAGTCCAAATCTGTCTAGCGCAAGAAATTAAAGTGCTCAAGTTTCAAGATCATTGTGACTCATTCACGGGGGGTCTAGGTGGTGTGTTTTGGTGTGGTGAGGCTCTCAGGAATTTATGTCTGCCAATCAGTGGTAATTAAGCAGCAAGCCTTTCCTGTTTCAGCGGAGTGTGGCCAGGGGACAGTATGAGAAGTCAGGTAACCGGGACGGTGGGTGAGGCGTTCCAGGGGTTGGTGCCTGCGTTCTGCTCCGTTAACTGGACCTAGCCTGTGGGCCGTCCGGCGAAATCGTGATGCATTTGGCTGAAGCTGTTTGACAAGGCTCTCCGAGTTGAAAGGGTTCCCCCCAAAACTCCCCCTGATGAGGCGGTAGGCTCCCCAACCTCCAGGTCCCGCAGAGTGCACTGACGAGTGTAGGCCCCAAACGAGCCGACCTTCTCCCAGGTAGTTCCACTACCGTATCGTTTGATGTCCCATGTTCTCTGTGGCTGCCGTCAAGGATGTTCTGGCAGCTGGGTGCTCTCATGGACCGCACGCAATCATGGCATGAAATAGTAAAGCCGGAAAGAGAACTTGCCGCCTCGGTTAAAGATCCTCACCCAGAAGCTAATTGTTCTCGCGTGTACATCCGCGAGAGCCTAGGTTGGCCGTAGTCATCGCGGAAATCTGCGGAAGAAGAGGCCCAGTGTGTCCAGTAGGCCTTTTAAGTCCTGTTTCCAAATCCCGAGAAGAGCTGCATCAGACCCAACAGCCCCAGGCCAAAGAGCCCTCCCAGTTTTCTGCAGCACCACCTGTTCGGGTACTTCCTGAGCTCAGTGGACACGGTGGACGTGTCCGCTCCCAAAGTGGATGTCCCAGGGCCCTGACCCGATGAGCTCCTAGGCAGCTGCCGGTTAAACACTCCGTACACCTCCCGGGGTGCTCCCAAGGGTCAAGCACGCTTTTTCCAACCCCTAAGAAGTAGACGTGAGTTGGCCGAGTTGCATGACTGAGGGGATGCCGTAGATGCTCGTGGGTCACAGGGAAGGACCTCGCGCGCAGCTTGGAAGTGTGTCTTCGAGACTGTCATCTAATGAGCAAGCCTGGCATTATGCAGGCCATCCTCCAGTCCCTCAGTGATCCACCCTGACACATGACAGCAAACAATACATAGTTATGTTTTGCTGTAGACTAAAACGTTCAGTAACTGTTAGCAATGATGTTGCATGCCTGAGAGAACCTTTCTCCTAACCTTCCCCTAACTCCTTCTTAACCAGTAACACAGAACAGGTGCAGGTTCTCGGAGCGGCTGTTAAAATTATGCATTACAGAATTGTATAGCACGTAGAGGGTGGCGCAATGTCTACACTTTTGCCTGCGTTGCTCCCGCACTAGTGAGAAGTCTTCAATCAGCAGACCAAAATAGATGTTGCCGGGAAGACAAAACGAGGCCCAGTCAGCCAGAAGGAAATGAGGGAGT